CCTCCGAAAAGGTCCTTCATACCAATCGCGGGCGACAACATCGCAAGTTTAGAGGGTCTTTAAACCTGAGAAGTGATTGAGCCGTTTCTTGATAGTTCGAAATGTGTTTTAGGGTGTCTTTGTAATGTACCTTCCTATTCAAGAAGCGAGAAAGTGTCGGGTGCAGACCATACACCACAACTGACGACAAATCTGGTTAGTAGTGGTTCATAGTGATAGCTGATTTTGGTAAATGATAGTTGTAATTAGTGACAACTGATAGAATACAACTGCAACAGGCTAATCATTTCATTGGCAGAAAAACATTTACATTTTGTGAAGGCCGTCGTCACTTGTGGTGTATGGTCTGCACCCGACACTTTCTCGCTTTTGAAGGGAGGGTATATGCGCAGCACGGTTGATTCAAGGGGAGAGGCTGAAATTTATTATAGGGAGGGCCTTATTGCTACACAATGACGCATGCATAGCGGTAAAATGCGGTAGATAATCTCTTATTATTCCCTACCTTTTCCCTTATTTGATATTTCAATCCGTCATAGCAACTATTATGCTACGCTGCTATTTTCAGTACGATCCAGAACTTGCAATTAGTAGTGAGAATTTATGCGCGTTATGTATATTTCTTCTTTGAAATTTGTTCCAGTGTAAATGAGATTTTCTCGGACCTTTTTGGTATCAAGCAAATGCAAGTATCACAGTGGTAAGTGAAAGCATCAAGCAAATGCAAGTATCACCTAGCCTGGGTTTCTTTTTCATCTGGGATTGACTGGAGCACGTAATATTCAGGACCGATTATCTCTGGTCTACAGGGCTGGGAAAAAGACAGCCCATGGCGCACATCATTGAACTTTTCCTCGCAGAAATGCCGCTGTTGATGAAAGTTTTACGGCAAATATCCCTTAGTTTCCCCATAAGTAGAAGCAGGCCCTCCTCCACTGCCCTCACCGTCCTCAAAATATGACGTCATCTTCCATCACCGTTAGCTCAAGAAGGCCTACCGTAATCGTTCCAGCCTGAAGCTGCTACGAAATTTCTTTAATCGGTTCACTGGCAGATTGCTTCCTAGGGACAGTAGCTCTGAACATGCAAGACCCCTTCCGACCAGCGTTTCAGATAATTCGTAATGGTCCATGATCCGTCGAAGGACCACGTTGAGCTCGAACTGTGCACAAGGTTCCCATGGCAAATTCTTGTGATGTCATTGGTGCAGAAAGCTAATATACCGTCCGTTGATAGATTGGAATACGCGCTTTAACACGTTGACGACAGGCTGACGCGCATGCGCGTCAGAAATTTTGCACCGCATCGGACATTCTGACGCGCATGCGCGTCAGAACTATGTTGTTCATTTTTATAGTGCTTGCGCTCCTTCTTCTCTTTTTTGCATTCATTCTATAGA